TTCACTTTGTTTCCAATTAAAAAAATAAATTTATTTATTTATGTGTTTTTATTTTTGGCTGTGTTGGGTTTTCGTTGCTGCATGCGGGCTTTCTCTAGTTGTGGTGAGTGGGGGCTACTCTTCGTTACAGTGCATGGGCTTCTCATTGCAGTGGCTTCTCTTGTTGCAGAGCATGGGCTCTAGGCGCACGGGCTTCAGTAGTTGTGGCTCGCGGGCTCAGTTGCTCCGTAGCATGTGAGATCTTACTGGGCCAGGGCTCGAATCCATGTCCCCTGCATTGGCAGGCAGAGGCTTAACCACTGTGCCACCAGGGAAGCCCTTTGTTTACAATTTTTATTGTCGTTATTTAGTTTCCTCTTCTAAGTATGAGAAATTAGTAACAGATATATCATGTAAACTGCTTTAAAGATATATACAGTTGACCCTTGAACAACATGGGTTTGAACTGCAGATTATATGCAGAGTTCTTTCAGTAAATATAGTACCTGTGTTTTAATTTTACAGATCTTTAAATTAACTAAGTGTGGGGGGAAGTTTGTGTGGCAGGCTGGGAGCATCATCAGTGTTTAGCTGGAGTAGGTCTGATATTGTCAGAAAGGTTTCTGATCTCTCCCTTTCACTGACCTTTGCTTAAAATAGATTTTCCTTGAGACTTTTTTTTTCTTTCTTCTGTGAGTGTTGGTGGTTCTGGATTGCCGGCTTCACCAGAGACGAGTCTGGGATATTGTGAAGATAAAAAGAAAACCCGGGGAACGTACCGCAGTGTTGTTCCTCAAATTCTGAGGTCCTTAGCCAGTCCATTTTCCTCCTTCCACTTTTCAGAATTCTCTTAACCTTGTCTGTTATATCCAGGGTTTGTAGTTATGCTTTGCAGGTAAGATTATGAGAAATGAGAAGAGACATGAGTCTAGGCCATCTTGTTTGGAAACAGAAGTCCTTGTTCATGTATGTATTTTTGATTTCTGTTTTAGGTGCAAACACATTAAGATTGTTAAGTCTTCTTGGTGACTTGACCGCTTTCTGTAATTTCCCTCTTTGTCCCTGATAACATTCATTGCTCTGGAGTCTCTTGCACCTCATATTAATATAGCTATTTCAGATTTCTTTTCATTGGTATTTACAGGATACATTGCTTTCCGTTCTTTGTTTTGAACCTATTTTGAATCTATGTCTTTTATTTAAAATTGGTTCTTTGTTGACAGTGTATTGTTTGGCTTTTCTTGTTTAATCCAGTCTGCATTCTCTGGCTCTTATTAGTGCCTTTAGACCATTTACATTTGATGTAGTTGGCTTTCGACTTAGCATCTTGCTAGTTGTTTTGTTTGTTCCATCTGCTTTTTGTTCCTTCTATCCTTTTTTTTTTTAAAATATCTTGGATTAATTGAGTATTTAAAAAATTATATTTCATTTCTACTATTGACTTACTATTGTACCTCTTTTTCAAAATTTTAGTGTTTGCCTTAGGGTTTACAGTATACACCTTTAATTAGTCACAGTCTACCTTCAGATAATAAACTGCTTTGCTTGTAGTATAAGAACCTTATACAATAGTTTACTCCCAGTCCCTAATTCTTTGTGCTGTTGTTGTCATGCTGTTAACACAATGCATTGCTATTGTTTTTTCTTTAAACAGACAATTATCTTTTATAGTAGTTAAAAATAAGAAAAGTATATTTCATATTTACCTTCATTTTTACCATTTCTAACACTTTGTTTCTTCTTATAGAGATGAATTTCTGGTTTTAAATTTCTTTTGCATGAAGAAATTCCTTTAACACTTTTTTTGGTACAGATCTGCTAATAATATATTCTGTCAGTTTTTGTTTGTCTCAGAAAGTCTTCATTTCTCTTTCACTTTTGAAAAATATTGCCCTTGATATAGAATTCTGGGTTGGTAGGTTTTTTCCCCAACACTTTAAATTCTTCATTCTGTTGTCTTCTGGATTGAATAGTTTTTGATGAGCAGTATGATGTAATACATGACTTTTATTGGTGTGGTATACCCCTTTTTCTCACTGGCTTCAAGATTTTCTTTGTGTGTCTATGTGTAGGTATATTATTGCGCTTTTGTTTTGTTATTTGTTCTGCTTGATATTCTTCAAGCTTCTTGCATTTGTGGTTTGACATCTTTCATTATATTTAGTAAATTCTGGCCATTAGATCTTCAAATATTTTCTCTCCCTTTTTTCTTCTTCTGGGATTTCTATTACATGTATGTTAGGGCTTTTGATATTGTCTCACAGCTCTTAGTTGCTCTATTCTGGTTTTTTTGTGGTTTTTTTCCCCCTTTTTCTCTATTTCTGTTTGGGTAATACCATCGATCCCATTTTTAAGTTCACCTATTCTTTCCTTAGCTGGGTCAAGTTATCTCTGCTAATGTTTTTTTATTTCTAACATTTCTGTTTTATTCTTCTTGATGATTTCATCTCTCTCGTGAAATGCCCCATCTGTTCCTGCATGTTGTTCATCTTTTCCACTAGATGTAGCATACTATTCGTAGTTATTTTAAATTCCATGTCTGGTAGTTGTAACATCTGGGCAACTGATATCTGAGTTTGATTTTGTTATTGTTGTTTGTTTGCCTGCTTGTTCATATATCTTGTAAATTTTGGTTGAAAACCAGACTTAATACATGAGACTCTAAATGCTGAAGTAAATAGTATGAATGACTAAAAAATGGACTTGTCTCCTCTTCTGCTAGGACTTCACTGTGTGTGGTTGATTGGTTTGGATTTTGTTGTTGCTGTGGTTGTCCTCGGTTGACCACCACTTTCATATCCCTTGTGCTTTTTAGGTCGGTGCCTGAGCTACCAGAAGTTTGTTTGTTTGTTTTTAAAATGTACCTGTATCACTCGCACTTAGGTTTTCCCTGTGAACCTGTGCCTTAAGGAGTCTTTCCATGCTCACTTCTCTCCCAGTGGCTGATGACAGTTACCTGTCACTTGGAGTGTCCTGGCTCCGTGGTAGGGAACATGAGGTTGTTCTCTGTTATTCTAGCTTAGCCTCTGTCTTAGGCAGGCCCTTGATTCTGGGTCTCACAGGTGGGTGTCTCTCAGTGATCCTTTGCCTCCCCAGGTGGCAAGGGTCCTCTAGTGGTCTGGGCCCAGGGCAGTTTCCTGACCCCTCTGCCGGAGTAGAGGGTTTTGTTTGTTTACTTTTTCTCTGTTTACCTGTGCTCTGGGGACTTCAGTTTTGCTGACCTTCCCTCAGTGGCTTAATGCTTTTGTTTCCTAGGGTTAAAGATCTGATGGGGCTTCATGTCCTTCCTGCACTGGGGGCTGTTCTTTCCCAAGCCTGTATCCGGAGGGATACTTTTTCTAATTTCTCATCCTTCCCCCAGTAGTTCTTGAGAGTATCCAGTAAGGTCTATAGAAAACCTTGGAATGGGTGTGAGTCCCCTTGTGTCTAAGATTCCCAGGATTTTTATATTTTCATGGTGGTTCACCCTTGGCCTTTTGCAATTTATCAAAAAGTTTATCTGAGGGACTTTCCTGGCGGTCCAGTGGTTAAGACTATGTGCTTCCACTGCAGGGAGCGCGGGTTCGATCCCTGGTCTGGGAACTAAGATCTCGCATGCCTTGCTGTGCGGCCAAAAAAAAAAAGTTTATCTGAAATCTTCTTACCCAGCGGTAGGATAATCCTTGTTTTCTTATGTCAGCCAGTACTCATGACCCCTCTCTTCTCTAAGGCACATGACTTTCCTTAGATTTCAGGCTAGTTGGTTTCCCTGTGACGTTAGTTCTGTTGGATTCGAGTAAAGTTACAGTTTTATAGGTTATCCAGCCTTTTCTCATTGTTAGGGTGAGAATGACACTATATCCAGCTCTTTACATCACAAACAGAATCAGAAGTCTCTCCGAAAGATTTAAGCCCCTAAATTGCATCTAATCCTAGTACAGTTTCCTTAATACCTTAGAAGACAGTATGCCAGATGTTCTCTAACTTGAGTGATACTTGGGTTAGTGGATTGGGTAGAATGCAAGTGGTCCCTTTGCTTTCCTGTTATACCATGATTCACAGAGGGAGAGATTGTTTACATTGTTTCTACTGGTCTTATGATATTAGGGAGGCAAGAGGTACCTCTCAGTGCTTGAAAAACAAACTTTGAAATGAGGTAATTGCATTCTTAAATGATCCTCTCGAGGACTTTCAGTTTTGTAAAAAACTTTTTAATAGAGATTATTTGTAAGTTCTATAGAATTTCAGTTCTTACGGTGAAGAATATGGTGATTTCCCCTGTTTACCTGTTACCTGACTCAAACAGTTGTCAACTCATGCCTAATCGCCTGTTGTCTGTCATTTACATCCCTTCATGGATTATTTTGAAGCAAATTCTAGATATAGTATCTTTTTATGTATAAATGTGTGTAAGGGATTGTAGTTTTTTCTCCCTATACTATATGTGTATTTTAGTCTTAATATGTTGGCCTAGTAGGCAGAAGGATAGCATTGGCAAATTTCATGCTATTTGCATTCAAAGGTATTTATATATGAGATGGAGTATATTTCAGATCTCTTTGATGTATGTGATTGGTAAATACACCTACTGACAAAAATTCTGGAGTCAAGGCCATCTACCCCCTAGTATTCGTAGACCTTTGTCTTTCCTTGCAAAGTAGACTGTTGTAACATTTTGTACATTGGAGTTTCAGTGGATATCCCCTAAGAATAGAATTCACTCTAACATTAATTTTCATATTCCATTGGAACTCTTGTTTATACCTATATCCTCAAAGGAAAGAGCAAAATGACTTTGCTGTACTCTTCCAGTTATATTTTAAACTGTAATTGCACGTGTAAAAGTTAAGTGTTTTAACTCTGTTATTTTTTTTTAACCCTTTTATTTTGAAATGACTTTAGACTTACAGAAAAATTACAAAGACAGGACAGGGAGTTCATGTATACCCATCGTCCAGCTTCAGTGTTAAGAGTTTATATAACCAGGGTACATTGAACAACACCATGTAATTAATATTGGCTATATGCCCTTATTTTAACAGCTGCTGAAATAGTTCAAGAAATTGAAAATATGGAGAAGACTAGGATGCGTCTTGAAGCTAGTAAACTCAACGAAAGCGTATGTTGATGGTCTTTTTCAGTATCTCGGTAGAAATGAAGGAAGGAAAAGTCGAATACCCTACAAATTAAAGCAAACCAGTGTTAAATCTGTTCAGTGGGAAATGTACTAGAACACATTTCCATTTAATGTATTATGATTTACTTGCAGCTCATTTTAGCATTTTTATCATATTTAGAAGTCTTCTGGCACAAGATCAATCCAAAGTAGAGTTTATTGATGAATTACAGTTTTATGGAAAAAAGCATGTGCCCGTACATAAGGTAACCTTGGTATTGGTCCTTTTTCTGGTGGTTGCATTTAATAAGTTCTTCAACATTTAACCTCTGTGGCCCTTAAGATCTTCATCTGTAAAACTCAGGGGGTTAACTATTATAATCTCTAAGATCCCCTTTTAGCTCTGGCATTCTGCAATTCTATGGTTATACTGATGGTGAAATTAAGTAATTTTAAGAGTTGATGAGGATTGAGCATCTGTTGAGCTTACTGAGGGAATCAGAGACCTAAATTTCTTCACTATTGCCTTCCTCTAGCTTGATGGTCCAAAACTTGAGGAAAGGATACCAAAGAAGAAAATAGCCATTGTGTCCTTTGACACTAGAGGAAGTGTTTTGGGCTCTCCCAAGTAGACTTTTTTTCCTAGACCATCGGTAATGTGTTTGTAAGGAAAGCAACAACCTTAGGGAAGTAAGTTTATAATCAGATAGTAGAAAAAAATGAGATTTTCATTGACTTTACTATTACCTGTGTGCTAACTATAAGACTATAATGAATCGTGTAAGTACATTGCAGATCTTTTAAGTCTAAAATTTTAAAAAGTGAATTAGAAATTTCACACGTGAAGTCTTGTATTATTGCATTTTCTCTGTATACCTTTGTGTAGACTTGGAAAAGTTAGGCTGGAAAAGGTAGAAGACAAACAAGAAGATCTGCCTTGTTAATGATCTGCTAAATGTCTCTTCAGTCTTGTAGTTTTATGTTACCTATTGTAGTAATGAATGTGGAAAATTAAATATTGAAAGTAGGAAGCTTAATTGATTGTTGTCTTAATACTTCATAAATTCTAATGGAATCAGTGTTGCATTTTCTACTGATGAAAAAAAGTAATGAGTAAAATGTATGTTAATTACAATATTCAAGAGAAGTAAACAGGAGTTAATCTTCCTAAGTCTATATAAAACAGACATGAGAGATTATTTTCCTCTATTTTAAACATCTCCATTTGAGATCTTAAAGTTTATAGTACTAATTTCTAATTTTTGTCATTTTTGGTAATTTTTAATTAAGAATTTTTGGATTTTTTAGATAATGGTTTTTACAAAGGACCAAACAGAAAAGGAAATAGATGAAATTCACAGTAACTATCGTAAGTTATGTAATATTTTCTTTGTTTACAAAGAACTTGGGTTACAGTTTTTCATCTTAAGTATTTTTATATTAATGTTTAATACAAACTTTCTTGTTAATATTACTTAAGAGACTGAATTTTGGTTGAGTGTTTACTCAAGATGGTGACCTTTTTTTGTAACTATGTGTGTGGTCTTTGATTTGTGACTAACATTCTACTTTGAGCTTATCACTAAGCACTTTGCAACTATTAATTAGTTGCTCTCAAAGCATCTCTGTGAGAAGAAAATGGGATTAAAATGGAAACATTCCTGACTTGCCATCCTGTCCTCAGGCCAGTGACAGTATTTATGTAAAGAATTTCAGCACTCTGTAGCTTGCATATTTATGCTGAAGATAGTTTTCATTTTATTCATTATTACCAGCTTCCCAAATTTATCGCTTCATTTTCCTTAAATGACCTTTATATGTATCTTTCCCAGTGCTAGCACGTTACTGTTTTGTCAATTAGATAGCTGCTTATTCTTTGGCTGGTTGGTTGGTTTTTAGTTTAAATTTAAATTTAAGTGCCTGGCAAACAGTAGATAGTTAATATTTGCTGAATGAATATTTCACACATGATATGCCTTAGTTGTGCCAAAAGAATTATGTTTTCTTTTTTCACTTAAGCTTTGAAGGGGCAGATACAGCTGTGATCTGTGTGGGGCGGGAGGATGAAGTACACAGGCACTAGATGTAGTTGTGATGGCCCGAGCCTTCTCGGAGTAGGGAAAGGAGGCTGGAGGATTCACGGACCAGAGGCTGAACCACAGAAGTTACAGCGCTGGTGCTCTAAAGATAGACAGATGTGATCGATCCTCTTTGATCAACCTTTGGGAAGCCAAAGTAATTTTTCTTGATACAGGAGCTAGAGAATATCAGATGATCACTGAAGTGGCAAAACTAAGGCCTGTAACAACAAGGAAACCAGAAAATTTGCATGGAACAAAAATAATTTAAATCACTAAAGGATGGTATCTAACAATTACGCTACACTAAAGAAAACGTGGGTTAGATATAGGCAAGAAAATATACAAATATCTATTGCCCACCATTTAAATATCTTTAAAAACTTTAATTTTACTAAATAGGTCAACATGTTAAATTAATTCACTTAGCTCTAAAATAAACCTTGGTATATACTTTGTTTTTTTAAACCTTTTGGGCACTTGCTAAAGCTCAAGCACTTGTTATTAACATTATAGTGTAGTTACAGTTTGATTTAGTATCAGGATCTAAATATACCATTGATGGTTCTTCTGTTTTTTAAACCTTTTTATTAATGTTTTAATGTACGTGAGTTTTTAATTTTTTTAATTTACTTTTTGGCTGTGTGGGGTCTTTGTTGCTGAACGCAGGCTTTCTCTGGTTGAGGAGAGCAGGGGCTACTCTTCGTTGCGGTGCACGGCCTTCTCATTTTGGTGGCTTCTCTTGTTGTGGAGCACGGGCTGTAGGCACGTGGGCTTCAGTAGTTGTGGCGCATGGGCTCAGTAGTTGTGGCTCGCGGGCTCTAGAGTGCAGGCTCAGTAGTTGTGGTGCACGGGCTTAGTTGCTCCGTGGCTTGTGGGATCTTCCCGGACCAGGGCTCGAACCCGTGTCTCCTGCATTGGCAGGCGGATTCTCAACCACTGCGCCACCAGGGAAGCCCATGTATGTGGTTTTTAAGCACATTTCTCTAAGGCTTATTAAAAACTCTGACTCCTCGCCACCTCCTTGTCTCCATCTTCATTTCCTAGAATTAACAACTGTCAAATCTTTTGGCTTTTGTTTTAGTAATTACCTTCATGTTTATAAAAGATTATTCTTTCTGCTATTTCTTGAAGTGTTTCAGTTTTCCATGTTAACAATTGATTGAAGTCCTAATTTGAAAAATGAAAATTTAGCTCTTTTGTACATCCTGACTCTTACCTTCTCCTCCCTCCCAATTTCTGAATATTGTCATAATTTTTTATAAGGTCAGTATTAGTTAGAGACATTGTATACAGTTTAAACCAGGCAACATACAATACTATGGTTATGAAGTGTGTCAGAGTATGCCACCACCCAAGAATATGCCACCATGACATGTTGCTTTGAGCAGAAGGCAATTGAGAAGCAGCAGAAAGGAAAGCTCTCTGCCTTCCGCCATTTGCCTAAGTGTAGGACACAATTACAAAGGTGTCTGTCCCTCCTCCCCTCTCTATCCCTAGAAGTAAGTTAGTCTTCCTGTTGACAGAGAAGGCTCTGACTTAAATCAGCATAGCAGACTTCACTCTTGTTTACTGTGTTTTTCCTGGCCATCTCCCCATAACTGGCCTCCCACACACCTTTCTTTTTTTTTTTTTTAATCTAGCTGAAGATGGTATTTAAGCCAGTGTTCTAAGTCACCTTCCAAGTGGCTTAGAGTTACTTATTTTTCTCTGGGTATCTTCCATATATACATGAGGTATACATGTTAAAAAACATCTGTTTGTTTTTCTCATGTAAATTTGTCTTTTGTTATAAAGCCCCAGCTAAGAACTAAGAAGGTTAGAAGGGAGATTATTTTTCTTCCCTTACAGTTGTAATTCCTTTTAGGAAAACATTCTGTTTTCCCTATAATTAGTAATTTTATTTGCTTAGTTTTCTATTTATCTGATATTAATTTATCTGTAAACTTTCCATGAGAAATGTCAGTGACTTTCTGTTTACATTGAAACTCATAGATTGTTTATCAACTCACTATTTTCTCCAGAACCTCTTACCTGAAGCAGCCCCCAGCCCTTTTCCAGGCACTGTGACTGTGCTTTGGGCCTCCTTCATACCTACCCTGGAATTTCCTTTCACCAGCCTTCTGGGTATTCTCTCCTCCCTCCTGTGTCAGTTCACCTATTTCAGGATCCAAATCTGCCTCTTCTTTTTCCTTGTTTTGGTGGAATACATTTTTCCAGGCAAGTCTCTTGGGGAAAAAAAGGGTATCTGGAGGAATACTTTTTGAGTCCATACATAGCTGGAAATATTACTTTTACTATTGATTTATTATTTGGCTTAGATAAATTGTCCACATAGCTAGTAAAAAGCAGGACTGGAAATTAAACCCACATTCATCCCATGCTCAATTTGAAGCCCTTTGCACTGTAGCGTGCTTTGAATCTGAGTGAATAGCTTGTATGTTGAGAACTTCTTTTGAGTGGGGGTGGGGGTGCGCTAAGCTTTACTTTCAGGTTATCTTGCTTAAAAAAAAGCTTAATTTTATGAATGAGTTACTTCGGTAGTTTTGTGATGATATATCTTTCTTACTTTCTTTAGCAGTCTTTTGGATAGATTTATCTTCACGAGTCCCTCTTTTAGAAGAGGAGAGAAACAGTGAAATCAATTTGAGGCTTAGTTGCAGATCTGTAAAGTGTATTTGATACAGAGTTGAATCAAATGAGTTTATTGAGTTACCTGCGGGTTTCAGGTTGCAAATGCTTTTGGTAGGTCTTCTTAATTAAGACTGAATTGCTCCAGTAAGAGGCAGAATCTTAGCCTGAAGGAAGTTACTCTACTTGCCTAACTGCCATGACAGACACATTTTGGGGATCTTCACGCTCTTCACCTTGGTAAAATATAGTTTTATACACTGCCAAGAAAAAAAAGACAAACCTCCAGTGAACACCCCGGGATTACCTCCTGTAACTTTTCCTGAGAGCACCAGCTTAGTCCTGTTAAGTAGGCAAGGCATTTTAGCTTAATATGTTCCTTTGTTTTTTTAATTTGGTTGTTCACTAATTCAGTAAATGTTTATTGAGCATCTACTATGTGCTAGCTGTTCTTCTAGGTAGTGAGTATAGAGCAGTGAGCAAGATACATAAATTTCTCATCATGGAGCTTATATTCTAATAGCAGACAGATAAATAACAGTAAATCAGCAGATGATTATAACAATTTTAGGTGGCAGATGCTATAAAGAAAATAAAGCAGAGTAATTTATAGAAATTATGGGGGCATTAGATAATGTAGTCAAGAAAAGGTTTTTCTTGAGGAGTTGACATTTGAGATGAGTCATAAGTAAAAGAAAAAATCGAAATGGGCTTCGCTGGTGGCACAGTGGTTGAGAATCTGCCTGCCAATGCAGGGGACACGGGTTTGAGCCCTGGTCTCGGAAGATCCCACATGCCGCGGAGCAGCTAGGCCCGTGAGCCACAACTACTGAGCCTGCGCATCTGGAGCTTGTGCTCTGCAACAGGAGAGGCTGCGACAGTGAGAGGCCCACGCACCGCGATGAAGAGTGGCCCCTGCTTGCCGCAACTAGAGAAAGCCCTCATGCAGAAACGAAGACCCAACACAGCCAGAAAATAAAATTAAATAAATAAAAAATGACGTAAAATTACAAAAAAACAAAACAAAACAATATTGCTAGCGGAACTTCCCTGGTGGTGCAGTGGTTAAGACTCCGTGCTCCGAATGCAGGGGGCTTCGGTTTGATCCCCGGTCAGGCGCAGACAAAAAAAAAAAAAAATTGAAATGAGAATAAAGGCAGCCATTCACAGAGCCGGAGGAAGAGTATTGCAGGCAGAGGGAGCGTCAGGGGCAGAGGTGCTGAGGTAGACACAGCGTCGGCGGGTGTGAGTGGAGTGTAGTGAGCGAAGCGGAAGAGTGGTGTACAGGGAGGCAGGGCCAGGTCCCGGAAGGAAAGACCTTGTAAGAGTGTACTGGGCTTTATTCTTCCTGCAGTGGGAAGTCATTGGAGAGTTTAGAAAGACAAGTAATATGATTTTATTTATGTCTAAAAAGATGGCATCTGCTGAATACAGAATAAATTGTAAGGTGGCAAGAAATAGTAAGAAAACTAACCGAAAGGCTCTTCACTCAGGCAATATTTATGGATCACCCAGACAGTATTCTAGGTATTGGGAATATAACATTAAAGAAACAGACCAAGTCTCTGCCCACATGGAGCTTACACTGTATTGGGAATAGTCAGACAGTAAACAAACGAGTAAGATGTGTCAGATAGTGATACATGCTAGGAAGAGACTT